AATCTCCAGTATCTCGGTTCATGCATGTATGTTCCATGCCCGGACACCCCCAGCACGGCTTCCTCACCGATCCGGTGCCGAACAGATGGCTGAGTCACAGATGGCCCAGTCTAAATGCATCTTCCTTACAACTCACGTGACAGGGAGTTGACTCTGTCCCTGCTGTTGGGGCTCGAAAGGTCTGAAATGGTGACTCCCCCGCAGGTTGCCTTTTTGGTTGGAAAGCCCCATTGAATGGGTCATTACTAAGGGTGGGGAGTCTTGCCTGTTGCAGTGCACAGTCACACAAACGTTTCTTGTTCTCACGTGCGCGAGCAAGCACAACCCAGCACCGTTTAATGCCAACAACTCGCTGGAACACTCAAAGGGTATGCTGGTGAGCTCTGCCAATTCCAAAGGTTCGACTACTACGACCCGCAGTGGGCAAAGGTGGACGCAGGTGGCTTCTTCAATGTCTCCTACATTGTGGAGTCCTTCTTGCTGCCAATCTCGTTTTTCATGCACATTGCTTGCTACATTCAGCGGCAGAATGGCAAGTGAGACGGCCCAGTTCCAATTATTTCGCACACGCCTTGTGTTGCAAGCTGTGCAGCCAGAGGCAGAGTTTCTTTGGCAAGTGGCATAGGGAGAACTGGAAGTAGAGCCTTTTTGAAGCCCTCACAACGGCGCCTGGACTTCCTGTGCTGACAAAACAAACGTCCAAAGACGACCAATGAGTTCAGTGGATTTCGTTTCCTGCCGCATCAGGTCCACGATGGCTACGCCGGGTCCTGCAAGGAACTGCATGGACGTAAAATGCCTCGTATGTCCTGCGGCAAAGCTGCAAAGCGCCAGGTTTTCGCGGCATGCTTGGCCAGTGGCAGCCTGGCAGGCTTCACACCAAGCAAAGTGTGAGCTCAGGGCAAGTTCGTTCTGGTCCTGCCCACGAGGAGATCAGACATCATCGGCAATCAGCCCATCTGGAGTGCAACGACCACTCCGCCAGGCTCAGCAGCATTTCCGTTGTGTGGTGCAGTGGCCTCAGCAATCAGAAGCAATCCTTGTTTTGCAGGCCCTTGTTCATGATGTCCGCGACTGCGGCCTTACTGGCAAGCTGCCCAGTGTTGGGCTAGCCCGTCAGCAGCGTTACAAGTAGCAGGTGTAAGCCGGTGAAGTGTCATTGAAGCTGTTGCAGGCTTGGAAGCAGCAGCGCCGTGAAGGTCCGTCTCCCGTTTTGTGCAGCTGCATGTGGTTGGTTGCACCGAAGCTACGTGATCTTGAGAACCTTGTGCTTTTCTGAGATGCAAGCGCAAAGCAGCCCTGAATAGCTCCAGGGCGATTAGCACGACGATCTTCACAGGCCTGCCTTGTCACTATTCCCTGCAGAAAAATCTTCTACGTGGATCAGCCTAGCTTGTGGTGTAGGTGGTGCAGCAGCCTGCTCTGTTTGTGCGCCGCCAGAAATCCAAAGATGCAGAAGCTCTGGCGTTCATCATGCTTCCCTTGGGGGTTTGAGGATATGGAGCCTGCGACGCCAGAAGGTTGGTCGTCCAAGATGGTCGCGCTGGCTTCTTTTGACTCGCCTGTATTGGTATCTTGGTAGCGCCGCGAAATCTGTCTTGGGTTTGTTTTCGTTGGGTGCAGGGGATTGTACCTCCGGACGACATCCGCCGGAGGATCAGATTGACACGTGGCATGCTGGAGAGAGATATCCTTGGAACGTGCCTCAGCCGTTGTGCATGGTAGAAATAGTAGAGATCTTGCTGCAGCAGATTCAAGCTATCAGTGAAGTCTGCTCGCTTGATCTGCAGCCTACCTCGGCGACACGGTGTGGGAATATCTAGTCCTCCGACATCAGTACCAGCAGGCACTTAGCCAAGGCTTCCTCGGGAAGTATGGCTTATGCTCATGCATGCTGAGGTTGTCCGGAGCCCATTTACAGAGAGCCAGGAGGTTCTGCCATTTGAGAATCAGCTTTGTTGAGCTTTGCTTTGACAACTTGTGAGCAGGTGCGGACAATCCGACAAGGAAGGGCAGCTGTCATGCTCCATCGCAGTGGGCCAGGGCTCCCAGGTCGAAAGAGGATCAATCCATATAGGTTTGAAATGTCAGGCGTTGGATTGATGCATGGCTGCATACTAACTGCGGTTGCGTGTGCAGCTTTCGCTCGGCTGCTCGAATCTGTTCTGCTTGCCGATCTGCGGTGTGCTGGCTGGGGTGGGTAAGTGCTTGGGCAAAAACATCGGACTGGGCACTGCATGCAAGATCATGTTTTTTCGTCTAGCTGGCAGGTGTTGATAAGCTTTTACAACTCGCTTGCTTTCAGTCCTTCCTCTGAGGGTTCTCAATGGGCGAGAGCAAGAAGTGCTTCTTGAAGGTGCTCAAAAAGTGTGGCTGCAGAAGGCGGAGTGCTTGATGCTTTGCACTGGTTCTTTTGTACCAAGAGGATGGGCGGTGTAGTGCTTGATACTCTTCCGGGCCAGGTTAGATGGAATTTTGAGGGCATCAGGCAAGTCGGCATCAACATGTGCGCTTTCGCTGGCTGAGCTACTTCGTTTGTGGAATCTGCTTGTAGAAGCTCCCCCAGGTACTGCTGTGCATTGGGTCTGCGCACTCTGCTTGGATATGCCTACATGGATGCAGCCTCCTCGGACAAGGACTTGACAAGAATTATCACGGAGGCCTTACCGACAACCCTAATCTAAGCTAACTTGAGTCAGGGTGTCAATGTGCCAGATTGGGCTTCTTCAGAAACCTGGCGTGGAAGATCAGATGCTGGCAGAAATCACCGAAGGTGCTTGTTTCCAGAGCCATGCTGCCTGCCTGTCTGATTGATTCTTCACCATGTGCCTGCCAGGAATTTTTGACCCTTCCCTGCGTCCTCCCGGCAACTACTTCTTGGTTCTGCACTGAGAGAGGGAGGGAACTGGGAGGGAGGGTGGGAGAGAGAGAGAGGGAAGGCCGATGTGCCAGCCCCGACAAACTTTTCCAGCAGCATGGAGCTGTCACTGAATGCTGTTTCGTGCTAGGCGGTAGGGCACTCCAGCTGAGTCATGTTTTTCTGCTCTCGTTGCCAATCAGGTAGCACCAGTACCACCACACATCTGCAGACATTGCAGTAACAGTAACGGCCCGGTACTGCGGCTCGGTACTGTACTATGGCAGAGTATCTGATGAAGCACAGCTCAGGTCTCAGAATCCAAATAGGATATATGGTAGTGCACTTGTCATTGGGCCTGTGGACCAGGTGGTGTACTTCTTTGGAAGGGCACAGCAGAGCTGTTTGAAGATGAAGAAAAGGATGTGCGAGCTGACAAGCATGCAATGCAAGGCATTGGCCCCTCTGGGTCATGCAGCGCTGCGGTTATATGTCAGCCGCTACCTCTGCGAAAGGCACACAGCAGACCATCAGATTTGCTATCATGGCCTGGTTCCCTCCATGTGGAGGCCGCTCATTGCAAGCGAGTTCATTTACCGAGTCAAGCTTGCGTAGATGCCTCGGAAATCGGACTTGCAACCGCGGGTGTGCGTTGATCTGCGGGAGGTCTCAAAAAAAAACATCTGAACCTGAGGCTGCGACAGGAGGAACTGGACGCTGCATCGGTGCGGTGCAGCTTTTGCCTGCAGCAGCTTTGTTGCCCAGATGCTGACCTCAGATCGCCTTCCTGCGTGACAGTGCTACTGCAGAAGAGGCACGCTTGATGCAGGCCGACCCCTAATTACGTGCCTAAGCATTTAAGATCTGCCAACGTTGCGCAGCTCAGGGAGCTCGAGAACAGGGCGACAGTTACGCATTCGCCTTTGAGTGCCTGTTGGGCCACCTTGCTCTCAAGCTGCCGTGCGCGCGGTGTAGGGTTGAAGCAAGTTTCATAGCTCATTGCAAGAGATGTCATTTTGCCGGCATGTGTGCGCCGCAAGCAAGAAGTATCCGCGTCAGTCAGGTACCGGCTCCACCAAATCGTGTCTGAATTTGGCTGGGCACAGCCTCTGGAAGGAACGTAGGCCTTTGGTAATCATGTCTTAACTCTGCCCATGCACTAACTCTGCGTTTTAGCGATGAACCCATGTCTACTTGTCTGGAGGGCAGATGATGCACAAGAGCAAAACTGCCTCAGAGAGATGAAAGAGATGAGAGCTAGAGATGCCAAGCGACAGTCGCGTCTCTTGCTTGCTGTCTGTCAGACGCTGATTTTTTATCAAGCTCTACCATTTCATAATCACAATGGGGAAACGAGCATTCGTTGCCGAACACCAGAAAGCCGTTCTTTTAAACACCTGCACTGAAAAGGTACTGACAATCTTTTTGTTGCAGTGTGTGTTGGTCAACTTGCATCAGCCTGTAGCTCCACCCTTCTGCGCGCACGGGGCCTCGCCTTGCAAGTGCGCGCACCTTGTGATTTTCTGTGGGCATGAGTTGCGCATCGAGTACTTATGAAGGCTGTGCCGCAGCTGTAATCAGCTTCTGTTGGCTCTGGCTTCTGCTGTGACCATGCCTCGCCTGGTCGTGTCTTCCATGGCAGCCGTGGCCGCACTGGCGGCCGGGGCGGCCTTCGTTGCAATGCCTGCAAGAGCACCTGTGGTGCCCAACAAGCGCTGCCGGCATGT